TATGCAGATGATACTCAGTTAGTGTTTGGTTTCGATCTATCAAAGGTTGATGAAGTTTCTTTTAAAGTTAATTTAGATTTGGCTATCATCAGTGATTACTTTAACAAACACTGCTTGAAGATCCTAATAAAACTACTACAATGTTGTACTGTTCGACGAACTCCTACCGTGAAATGAAGCAGAGGATTTGTGTTGTTTTGGATGAGACACTCATTCCTTTTGTGGATTACGCCAAGAATCTTGGTGTTACCCTTGACTTAAATATGAGATTCGATCGGCATGTCTCTTTCTTATCTACAGTAACGTATATGCGTTTGAAACACCTCTATTCTAATCGATTCATCTTTTTAAAACCCGAAAAAAGCTCGCTGAAAGTCCTGTGTTGTCTGTCATCTCTTACTCTCTTATTCTTTATTACCCATGTTTAGATTACGTCCACAAAAGGAAACTCCAGAAAATTCAGAACAGCTGTTGTAGGTTTATTTTTGGATTGCGCGAGTTTAGTCGCGTCTCAGATAAAATCAAAGAACTCAACTGGTTGCGAATTGATAAGTTATTTTTATATCTTTTGACCGTCCTCACGCATAAAGTTCTATTATCTAACAGACCAGCTTACCTCGCCAGCAAATTATTTCACCGTGGTAGATATGTTACCAGAGCTCTTAGATTTAATGCTAATTTTAGCATGCCTCCTCACAATACCTCAGTCTTTGAAAGAAGTTACACCTATAATGCTGTCAAGCATTACAATGCAGTCAACAGTGGCTGTAGATCCAAACAGGTTGCTTCTTTTAAGAAATTAATGAAACTTCAACTGCTGGAGTCCATTTAGTTCAGTTTTTCTTGTGTTCATGTGCTTTTTTTTGTATTTGACTATTTTCCACTATTTTTGTTTAAAATCTAAAACTCTCGCAATACTATCTGCATTTGTCTCGTGCAATCAATGTTGTCATTCTTATGAATTGTATTTTTTTGGTATGTTATTATTTTGTTTATGTGTTTAAGTATTCTTTTTTCCTGTTGTGGGGTTGGGTGTAAGAGTAGCCATCTGGCTAAACATCGCCTCACTGCAGCTAATAAAGGCATTATTATTATTATGATTATTATTATTTGCTGTTGTATACATTATATACATTATATACGTGAATATCGAGACGTATCTATTCATCATTGTATACGCGTAGATCCAATGCGCCCATCACTGGACAAGTGGTCTGGGGGGGTGCCTGGATGGTGGTCAACAATATTTTTTTTCTCACCTTTGCGGTTTTTCTGCAGGATTTATCAATTTTGATTTGAACCCTGCTTTTCTATGCTCTGAAACGAGCACATCTTCAGGGATTTCATAATTATTTTTTGACACCGGAGCAGCCGCGCAGGCAGAAGCTTAAATGCCAGGGCACTGCAGCTGCTATGAGGGTCCCAAAGAAACTTTGTTAATCTGATTTTTGAACTGCCTAAGGTTAGTAGAACTGGGAAAAACCTCATCTTGTAGATTTTTCCACAATCTCGACACCCTAGGGACGAAGGAGCAGTCGCTTCTGCTAGTTCTGGATGTACGAGTAAGTTCGACAAGGCAGTGGCGGCTCGTGAGGTAGTGCCACGGTGCCATGGCACTACCTTGTCTTCTTCAAAAAGAATATTTTTTTCAATCTTCAATGTTTTACTTTATTTTTTGCTTTTTCATTTTTTTTTGGTATAAATTATATGAAGTGACAACACTGACAACGTGACAACACCGCAAGCACCCGAACCACGCGACGAGATATAAAGCATGCCTTGACCTTGACGTCATCAACTTGTGCCAATGTCGGGCCGGCCCAAATAAAAAGAGAGAAATTTTACCAGCATCGCATACGAGCGACAGAGATAACGCTACAATACACATTTTTATATGAGGTGAATAGCGAAAGACAAGTATAATTTGTGCCAGGCACATCATCAGTCGTAATTCGTTATCAAATGATATCGGCGGTGTTTTTGTTCGGTCGGTCGTTTCGTTATGATTACGTCTAGTGCTGATTTCGGTCTTTTTTTACCTGAAAAGTGAGAAATAACGTTTTTGTTTTAGTACGTCTAGTGTTAATGAACTGCTCTGTTTTGTGATCATATTTTTTACTGTTTTATTAAAACTAGTGAAAATGAATAAAATCGGGATATTAAAAAACTCATTTAGTGGTTTTTCGCTGGATCAAAAACTGCAAATTAAAGAATTAGGACGGCCAATACCCGATTTAAAAATTGAGAAACAAAGTGGTAGCGGACAAAAATCGCGCTGTCGCAAATTTAATAAAAATGTGTACGATAAAAACAGCTGGATATGTGGTTGTGAAGAAACGAATAAACTATTTTGTTTTGTATGTGTTCTATTTGGAGGTGACGAGACTTGGTCAAAAAAAGGTACAGATGATCTTATACATATATGGGATAAAATGAAGACCCACGAAAAATCTAAAGTCCATATGAATAATGTTTTTAGCTTTTCTATTCTTGGTAAATTAAATATAAGGACTCAACTCAATTCGGCTTATCGCAATGATCTAATTAAACATAATAATCAAGTGGATAAGAATCGATATGTATTGAATAAAATTATTAATTGTATAAGGTTTTGTGGAGCATTTGAGTTAGCCTTAAGGGGTCACGATGAAAAGGAAAATTCGGAAAACAGAGGCATATTTAAGGAGCTGGTGAATTTTAGCGCCGAATTAGACAACGAATTGAAAGTCCATATTCAAAGTGCCAAACTTTTCAAGGGTACCTCAAAAACAACTCAAAACGAGCTTCTTGAGTGCATGCTAGATGTTTATCATGAAGAAGTTAAGAAGGAGATTGCAAATTCTCCTTTTGTTGCAGTAATTGCCGATGAAACGACTGACGTAGCCTGTGAATTTCAGTTAGTTATTATTTTCAGATATTTGTGTAAAGGACAACCAGTTGAGAGATTTTGGAGATTTTACGTCCCCGACGGACACGATGCCAAATCAATCGCTGCATGCGTTTTAAATGTTGTAAATCCATTAATAGATCAAAATCCAAACAAATTAATAGCTCAAAGCTATGATGGTGCGTCTGTTATGAGTGATGAATTGAATGGCGTTCAAAAGATTATTAAGGAAACTTATCCACTTGCAAATTATGTTCATTGCTATGCACACCAGTTAAATCTAATTATGACAAGCGCATGCTCTGTCAATAAGCAGGCTAGAATATTTTTCCATAATTTATCTGGATTGTGCTCTTTTTTTTCGACGTCTCCTCAAAGAACAAAAATTTTGGATGAAATAGTTAATCGCAGATTGCCAAGATCTTCCCAAACAGTCACGAGGTGTTCATACAGTTTATGAAAATAGGAAAGACCTGATTGAAGTTATGGACAATATAGAAAGTACTTCACGCGATTCTTCGTCGATTAATCAAGCCAGTGGGTACAAATTAAAGCTGCAAGATACAAATTTTGTATTTTGGCTAAGTATATTCCATAAAATAATGCCACATGTTGAAATTGTCTTTAACCAATTACAAAAAGTATGCACCGATTCTGTTAAGGTCAAAAATGATTTAGAGAATTTTGAAGCAGCAATTCAAACTATACGAGAACAAATGGATAGCATTATTGACGAGATTGAACGAGTGCAGAGAGAAACTGATGAACCGGCAAGAAAAAAAAGGCAAGTTGAAGAAGGCAGCAAAAAACGGGAAGCGTTAGAAATATGCGATGCAGTATTATCGCAAATAAGAACAAGATTTAACTTTTCTGGGCATTTAGTTGCTTCTAATTTATTTGTGTCTGAAAAGTTTTCTGTTTATAAACATCAGTTTCCTGAAGCACATTTAAATGACACATGCACACAATTTTCATTTTTAGACAAAAACAGGCTTAAAACTGAGTTACAAGTATTATATCAGAGAGAAGAATTGAGTACTACTTCTGGAGCTGTTCCACTATCCATTTTATTGAACGAGGAAGGATTAAATTGTACGTTTCAAGAAACTCTTAAGCTCTTAAGTATTTTAATCACTATACCGATGTCAACATCTGAAGCAGAACGCTCTTTTTCAATGCTGAAACGGATTAAAACTTTCCTCAGAAACACAATGAAGGAAGAAAGGCTTAGTGCTTTAGGAATGCTGTCTGCAGAAAAACATTTTGTTAGTGGCATTGAAAATTTTAATAATAAGGTAATCGAAAACTTTGCTACCAAAAAAGAAAGAAGAATGGACTTCATGTATAGAAAACTTAGAAGTTATAGGTACTTCTCCACACTTGTTTTATAATTTGGTGCGCGTGTGTAAATAGTTTTATTTTTGATTTTTTTTTTGGACATATAGATTTATTGAACCTCAAGAACTTTGACCACTAACTATCAGGGGTAAGTTATAAGTTATTCTTTACAATTTTGAATCGATTCAAAATTATGGCTTCCATTCTGGCACTACCTCACTGAATTGGCACGAGCCGCCACTGCGACAAGGTAGGATGGGAGGCCAAAGTAAGGCGGGTCTGACTGGCAGGCACATCGCGCGGCGGCAACATGGACGGGTGGATATGGTTACTCGCTTAGAACCTTAGCTACAAAATGTTCCTGGTAGAAATGCTTGTAACCAGAATGGCTCTTCTTATTCGAGAACTGGCTGGTATGAAAATGCATCGTGACCATTTTAAGCCTCATTTGGAACAACGTGGCGTTACAATTGACGAGAAAGTTCAATTTCTAATTTACCGGAAAAGTATTAGCAGAGGTATGAAGTTCAATTGAAATTGGAGGTTGTAATATTTTACGGCAAAGTTTGCTAGTTCGGGCGAGCCAGATCTGCCCGCCTTTCAAGACATTAAATGGTATTTAGAACATGTGCGTGAAAGCCAATTGCTTCAAAAAGTAAAATGTACGAAAATTTTTATTTAATACATTTGTTTACTTTTGCTAAGATAATAATTGTAAAAAAATCGCTTACGTTATATTTGAACGGTCTCTTAGCAACATTTTCAGAGTACTTACCATGTTCGTTGGATTCACGTAATTTTGAATGTACAACATAGTTGACCACCAATTTTTGATACAAGTGTTTTTGATCTTGTAAACGGCTAATGTCCAAAATGGTCCGTATGCCATTCTGTCCATAAGTGTGACGCTAAATATGATCAAGGCTAACAGGGAAGGAGTAAGTCTGCAAAATAAGAAAGGGCAAAAAGTTATTTTATACAATATTCTCTCATTTTTAAGACACGATGTTATTTGAATATCCTAGTTAATGAAGGAATGAGGTATTTTCAAAAAATTCTTTTTTACAGCGGAAGACACATACGAAAAAATGTATAAACCATCCTTGAAAAATGGACAGCTGTCGCCAACCTGTCAGTGATACTGTCCAAGTTACCGCCACACAAATTCCGTTCATTCTACTACGCTATATAGACGAAATTTACACGGCCGGATCCCAGACACAGTCACCGACAAGTCATCGACCACTATACGATCAAACCTATAGCGGACGAATCTCTTTCAGCTAAATGCAATTTTATCTTGAGAGAGAATACTTCATTGTTCTAAAGATTTTCGAAATGGAACTATACAGGGTGTCCGCAAAGTTGGGCTTTTCCTTTACACGACGTGTAGATCTTGAAAACATAAGCAATTTTTCTTAGTACCATATATACCAATGTCTTAAGGGAACCGAGATAAAGGGCTCTGCAACATCAAAAATATCTGAATACCGTCCTGTAGCCGCGACCCGCGACATCACCGAGTGGTACAAGGTCACTGGCTCAACCCGGCGACATAACTGGGTCGGGGTCAGTGTGTCAGGTCAGTATGCAACCTTCAACCGACGGTTACGGTCACGCGTGTAGAGGTAAACGAACCCGCATAATCGATTACGTTTCAAAAAAAATAATAATGGCACACTCATACACCAATAATGAACTCGTTGATATGTTGTTAATTTATGGCGAATGTCTTCAAAATGCTACAGAGGCTTCGCGAGTGTATGCAGATCGTTTCCCTAGACGACATCATCCAAGGCCCCGCAGATTTGTGTACTTGGTCCAGAGAGTCAGGGATACGGGCCATTTGGAGGAATTTCGAGGTGGGCACAGTGGGAGGCCTAGACAACCACGAATGGTGCAAGTTGAGGAAGAACTACTGAATCGCGTAGACGAGAATCCCTCAACAAGCGCTAGAGACGTGGCTAGAGAAGTGCAAGTATCAAAAACTAAAGTGTGGCAAACGCTCCGTTTCACGTCCAACGTGTACAAGCCCTTCAAGCAAGAGTGCAGTTTTGTGAGTGGTTGTTGCATCAACATGACAATAATCCAGGCTTTTTGAAGTGCATATTGGTGACAGACGAATCTACGTTCACGCGTAATGGGGTGAATAACTTTCGCAACACTAATGTTTGGTCAGTAGAAAATCCGCACGCTGTCCGTCGGGCACATTTTCAACAAACGTTTTCGGTGAATGTTTGGGCTGGCATGGTGAACGGTATGCCCATTGGACCATTTATTCTCCCAAATCGATTGGACGGGATGCAATACCTAGACTTTTTACGCAACATTTTGCCTTCCTTGTTAGAAGATGTGCCATTAAGTGTAAGACAATCAATGTGGTTTCTGCACGATGGTGCACCGCCCCATTTTAGACGCGAAGTGCGTGAGTTTTTGGATGAATTATTTCCGAATAGGTGGATCGGACGTAATGGACCCGTAGCGTGGCCTCCCCGATCTCCAGACTTAACACCATGTGATTTTTTTCTTTGGGGAGAAATGAAACGCTTAGTGTACAAAACTGAAGTGCATACGGTTGACGAACTTCGTCTCAGAATTGAACAAGCTGGTGCTTTCATTCGGGGGAGGGACTCCATTCTCAAAGCCTGCACCGATGCTTGGCTACGTCGTGCACGCACCTGTGTTTTTGAATCAAACGGCGATAACTTCGAACAATACCTATAAAGTACGTTTACCTAAAAACTGAAAACGCGGCAACGCCGTCATATTTGTTACCTCTGTTCGTGGTCTGCACCACCCCCTGCGTCTACTCGGTAGCGTATCAGCTGACTTCATTTTTTGTTGGAGCGATATGATTTCGGGCAGAGACGTACTTAGCCCTTCTCGTCAACTGGAGAGTGAGTACTTTTTCCTTTATTTTTTTTTACTTGGTCGCCCTCGTTTCACTACACATTACCTTTGTTATTTCAAGGGTAGTTGTTTCTGAAAAGGACAACCCCAACTTTGCGGACACCCTGTATACTTGTAATAGTTGATGATGTATCGTGACTAGAAAACTTACCTTATGAATCTATGAAGATAGAACCAGAAAAAGTTTATACTAATTTTCCTGTCTTCTAAGGTCAAAAACGCATAGGATACCAAAAGACCGCCAATTGCAAAGAATGTGTCCACCGCTAAATTTGCTGCCATTGGAAAAGCTCCTTCAATTGATTCGTGGACCTTTGAGATAAACATGTTATGTATATATGCAAGAAGAAAAGTGTAAAATGTTAACATTACAGAAACCATCCACATTCAAGGTCGGGGTAATGTTATGTCCGACTTGTTTTACTTTATAAATTTTTTACTTGGTAACATTGTAAGTTGGGTTCAAATAAATTCACATATCTAACCGCCGCCGCCTATGTACGTGCTCTGGGAAAAATACAAAACTTGTGAACTAAACCGTGTATTAAACCCCAAAACCTCAAACAAGCCAAACAGTACCGAAAACCACTTTTCCCTTAATATAAGCCCAGGCTCCTATTATAAAAATCGCACTAAGTAAAATGACTCTGTACTTCCCACGCTACGCTGTCATCAGTTCGTAAATGATTATGTTTGGCACAAGTTAGCCCTTCTGAGGGAAAAATTAACTACGAACATGTATAACAAAAAATTAAACGACCCTCCTCCTCCCCCTGAGAGGAATTGGCATTCACCATGCACAGTGCTCACAGCCCACAGCAGTGCGGAAGCAATTGCCGACTGAGAGGTACGGCCTTCTATGATAACGCTTGTCCATCGGGAGACCACGTCGCACATATCGACACCCAATTGTAGGAGTTATTTCTAATCTTTAAGGGTAAATGTACCGGGACATCTAGTGAAGTATGACTAATATAACTGGGGTTGGAGGCGTAAACAGATACCAACGTTATACCCCCAGAAACCCGCTAACCCCTAACCCCCAATTTTTAACTTCTACAAAATAATTCGAAAATGGTCAGGATCGTCTAAAACGTCAAAAAACGAAATATGATTTTCAAAAACTACAAAGCTTATGGGTCCTTGGCATAGCAATAACATTGATTGAAAATTTCATGAAATCTGAGAGGTACCTCTCAAGTTATAGGCGGTTTAAGACGGACAGACAGACAGACAGACAGGCAGACCGACGGAAATGAGTGATATGGTTTTTGGTGATGTGGTGGTGTCATATAATATCCAAAAACCATAATATCTATTTGTGAAAATTTTCGCAATTATAATACTACTAGTAGGCGTAGGAAGTAAAAAGTCAAAAGACTCAATAAATTGTTATTTTATCCTTAAAAAGTATTTAAAAAATACGTGAATGTATCTAGTCTTCCAGATACTATTCTAGAAAGTATTTTGTACCTGCTATCTGAAATATTTGTTTTAAAAGTATCTATTATTTTGTATTTCAGATACTTTGCATAGGGTATCTTGTACCTCTCAGGTCCAACTACGTGGTGTTCTTAGCTTTTTATAGAAATAATTGGTTACCTTAAGAAAATCAAGGAAGTTTGCTTTGGGCATCATCAAAACAATTCCGTACAAATGGCCTAAAATAATCCACATCATACTTATTACCCTCATCCCATTTAAACAGGTCAAGTCGTTTTCTGTTTTCTTAGTGGATGTTATTTTTTTCATGTTCGTGTATACAGAGAAGACTATGAGCATGCTGAATTGCTTGCCTGAAACACACAGGTTTAAATTATAGTTACAAAACTAGATTTTGTTAGTAGTTACCGCTTTCTTTTCTTCTCTGGAATATAAATATGTCGTAGACGGTGCTCAGAAACATTATTATTCCAGTAACTGTGAAAAATGCACTGCAAATGAAGTACATTATATTTATAGTTAAGCAAAATATAAAGATAATTGAAAAATCTATACTGAAAAAATGGCGTCAGGTAGGTTAATGAATTATGTGATTATGTTCGGCACAAGTAATTTTTTTTTATATCGAAACAGCCGCGCAGGCAGAAGCCTAAATGCCGGAACACCGCGGCTGCTATGATGATCCCAAAGAAATTTTGTTAATACGATTTTTGAACTGTCTAAGGTTAGTAGAACTGGGAAAAGCTTCCTCTTGTAGATTGTTCCACAATCTAGATACCCTCGGGACAAAGGAGCGGTCGTATCGGCCAGCTCTGGATGTACGAAGTTTGACACGGTTAGGATGGGACGCCGAAGTCAGGCGGGTCTGTCTGGCAGGCACATCGCGCGGCGGCATCATGAAAGAGAGCTCTGAGGAGCAAAGCCCGTTGGTGTAGCGATAGAAAAGAGCTAGATCGCCGACGGCCCGCCGGTGCGAAAGAGTCCCGAGACTGTCTGTTAGAGAAGAGTCATCGATTAGTCGGACCGCCCTCCTCTGGACAGCATCGAGCATGGACAATGTAGTCGGGGCGGCAGCACCCCAAATGTGTGAGCAATACTCGAGGCTAGGCCTTATCTGGGCCTTGTATAGAGTGAGAAAAGTACTTCTTAGCCCTAAACAAATAGCCTAGCTTTTTCCCATCAGCTGCAGCTATTGACGAGATGTGTTCGTGCCAGATCAGGTCCTCGGTGATCTGGACTCCGACCAGCCGAAATGAATAGCTCTTTGGTAGAACTCGGCCGTCCATCGAAACTGTATGAGCGCTAGGACGCTTTTTGTTCGTCAAAGTACAGTAATGTGTTTTGGAAGCATTGAACTGTACAAGATTGTTGCGTCCCCAGGCAGTGATAGCCTCCAGGTCTCTTGTCAGAGAAGAAGTCGTCGCTAGTCTTCTTTTTCCAGCTCAGCGGCAGAGATCGGCTTGTCACTCTGAATTCCTGCATGTAGAGTGCTGTCATCAGCGAAGCTGTGGATTGGGTTGATCGTGCAGGAAAGGAGGTCGTTGATATGTAAGAGAAACAGTGTTGGAGCCAAGACCGATCCCTGGGGAACACCCGCGTTGACGTTGTGGGATGAAGAGGAGAATCCGTCAATTACGACGGATATCTTGCGGTCAGAGATAAAGTCAGCCACCCATCTGCAAAGCTTTTCTGGGAGGCCATAGGATGGAAGTTTGCTTAAGAGGGCAGCGTGCCACAGCTGATCGAACGCTTTCGTGATGTCAAGAGCAACGACATGAGCCTCACCATGAGACTGGATGAGTTTACTCCACAATTGCGTGACGTAAGCTAGGAGGTCCCCTGTGGATCGTTGGTGCCGGAAACCGTACTGCCTGTCGCTAATCAAGCTGTGACGTTCGAGGTAGTCCAGAAGCTCGCGATTTATGCACCTATCCATCACTTTACTTATAACAGAAAGCAGAGCTAGAGGCCTGTAGTTGTAAGAGTCGGTCTTAGACCCGCTGCACATCTCTTCAGTACGATGGCAGGAATCAAGTCCGGACCAGAAGCTTTGTTGATGTCGAGCGACAAGTGCACTCGTCTTACGGTCTTATGCCTGAATGTTACCTCCCGCTAGAGAAGTGACTGCGATCGCATTCACTGCTACTGTTCACCTATTACTCACAAATCATTTAGGTAGCTGCTACTCGCTTCTGCACGAAAGAGTGAAAATATCACTGTTTAACTTAACTGCGAAGGCGCGTATCGCACATACGTCGCACACCTTGTCTCATGTCTGCGTACCGTGTACGTGTGCGACTGCAATACTTCGATGAGTGCGATGCGAGATAAAAGGCGAAATTGTTCTGAATATGAATTATGATTTGTGAATGCGATCGCCATCTATCAGCTGGACGGCTTATCAACGACTGCTAAATGCTAATTAGGTAAAGAAAGTTTCACAGTTTACTGTTTGACTGCTTCATTTTGTATAAATTCCTGCGCTTTGCAGGGTGGATTGATATAAAATGTGCTAACCTAACTTACAGTTTTTGTTATCGCAATTAGGTATTTCAAAGTATTTATTCGTGTTTGTTTTGGTTTGTGTCGTACCGGTAAGTAAATGTTACACTGCGTATAGGTACATCCGCATTTATTTAAATATAATTTACAGCACTGAGAAGAATGGCAACTCCTAATAAAAGGAGAAAAAGTAGTGAACTCTGGTTACACTTTGAAGAAAATGAAAATAAAATGGCGAAATGTGGGAGGCTCCCGCATAGTGTAGGGAACCCCTTGAATTGACGGCACTTGGGCGTTGGTGGGGACGGCCATGGTGGAGTTGGCAGCAAAGATCTTGGCTAGCACTTCCGCCTTGGCCTTTGAGTCGAATACAATAGTTCCATCCTGATACGTAAGTGGTGGAAGCCTACTGTGTGAGAAGTTCTTTTCAATCTGCTTGGCCAGCGTCCAGAAAGACCGACTGCCATTACGCTGCGACATTACCCTGTGCCTAACTTTTATATCATGCTGGGTTTTGGCATTGCGAACCGTTTCGTTATATTTGTTTCTGGACTCGACGTCGGCTTGTCTATTCTCTACAGTGGGGTTTTGTAAGTAGGTTCTGTGTGCCTTGATCTTCTGCTGGCGAGCAGTGTCACACGATTTATTAAACCAGCCGTTGGTCCCTGGTTTAGGAGCTTTCACTGTGTGAGGGATGTATTCCTCCATTCCGACGTGGATAATTTCGGTTATCAAAGAACAGACAGTCGACGCATCCGCGTCAGTGAAACAGACATCTCTCCAAGGAAAGCTAGAGAAGAAGTCTCTGAGCCCCTCCCAGTCGGCATGTCCGTAATGCCAAGTTTTGCGGCCTGTACGAGTTTCTGCTGCCACAGCGGGTTCTGACCGAAACCTAACCTCCACAACACCGTGGTCTGAGTTACCCAGGTCGGACAGGACAGCAGTGCTGTAAGGGACAGGATGCGTGGTCAGAAAGAGATCCAGCAGGCTACTGGCGTGTGACGAGACGCGGGGGAAAAAGTAGGGCTCGTCACCAGCTGGGTCAGCCCTTGAGTAAGAGCGAACGCTTCGACTGCACGACCTGCTGCATCGGTCTTATTTGAGCCCAACCAAAGCTCATTATGGGCATTGAAATCACCGAGAAGAACTATCTCTGAAGCGGGATGATTGATGTTCAGGAAGTCGATCGGGATGGCGAGGTATTCCAGTAGGTCATCCCAGTTATGGTTCGAGGGAGAGCGATAAAGGCAGCAAATAAATTGATTTGATTGATGATGTTTTGGAGTTGAGGCGAAGCCACAGAATGTCCTTCCAGTCTGATTCCAAAGAAAGATCCTTGGAGCAGGAAAGACTGCTGCGGACAAAAGCCACAACTTCCCCGTTCTTTCTCAGATTGGAGTGCACCTCGTAGTTTGGGAAGTTGAGATGGTTAATCGGTGCAGTCTCTGAGATTTTTGTCTCCGTCAAGAAAAGCATGGCGGGACGATTGGATTGCAGGTAGTGATGAACAGCATCAATGTTGCTGTTAATCCCGCAGATGTTCGAAAAACAAATTTTATCTTCGATGTTGTTCCCTCGAGCCCACCCTCCACCCGGACATTCCGAGAGTGGAGTGAGTTTACGTCCGGAGTTCTTAGTGCTCGAGGGATCCATCATCATTAATTTCTTTGTTTTGGAAGATAACCGACTACATAGCTTAGGTGTGGAAACATGCGGCAAATTGCTATAAATTGACTCCTCTCCTCATAATTTTTTGACTCTAAGAAGAAAAAGTGGTACATAAAAGTTATAGGTTCCAATATGAAACTTTCATATAATATATGTTATCGTAAAGTAATACTTTTTAAATGGAACATCCTGTATATTTTTAGAGGATTTTAAATTTTCCTCACCATTGGGATCTCGGAAATGGTGAAAGATACGTAGTCACTTAAATGGGCGCAAAGTTGCATATGCAAGTAACTAACAAAATGCCGCTAAGAAAGTTTCTAAATTCAAAGTACCGGAGAGAGGCAGAAGAAACGAAATTTCCTAAAATCGTTTTAATTTTTTCCTGAGTTTATTTGTAGTAGGATTTCAAAATGAATTGCACAATAACAATGCCATTTTCCCTCCTTTACAATATGGCATAATTATAATTTCATTATTCACCTGTGGAAAATCCAATATGGCGTCCATAAGAAAATATAAAGTTGATGCCGGAGGACAAGAGATGGAAGGTCATATCGAAACTCTAATTATGCCCTGATGGAAAGGATTTGGATTTTGAAATCGCACTACAAATGAAGTCAGGAAAAAATTAAAATCATTATGAGAAAATTCTGTTTTTCCGACTCTGCGAAAGTACTTCCTTTGAATTTCGAAACTTCCTAAGCGGCATTTTGTAAGCTATCTAAATACACAAATTTGCCACTATTTCTTCATTTAATTTGAAACACCCGGTATATGGTTTGATAAACTTAAAAAACCAAAAGTCTGATATTCTACATTTTTATACAAGCGCCTCTGTTCTAGCAAATTATGAGACATCTAATACTACGACGTTCTTGAGAATAGAAATGGATGCAAAACTCAATTGGCAACTACACATTGACAGTGTGTGTAAAAAGTTGAGCCAATGGTATTATGCAATTCTGAATCTTGAGTTTTGCTTATCACCTTTGCTAGATGTGTATTATTCTCTCGTAGACTCACATTTATCAGGCACATCGTAGTTTGGGGTTCAATCAAGTTCAATTTCTAGAGCATTTGTTCATCAGAAGAGAATAATCAGATTGATATTTAACATCCATAGAAGAGAACCCTGCAGAGAGATCTTCAGAAGTAAGAACATCATATGCGCCCTTTTCACACATACAAACAAAAATTTTCACAGAACATAAATATCAACGCACATTATACTTTAAGGGCAGGTGAGATTCTAACAATTCCAAAACACACACTGATGCTGCTTGAAAAGCTTCCAGCTAATCTGGCGGGTGTCAGTAGGATTGCTAGTTTTAAACGTCAACTGCGAACATTATTAATTGAAAAATGTTTCTCTGAATATATATATATATATATATATATATATATATATATATATATATATATACGTATATATATCTTTATATGTTCATGTCTGTACGCCTTTAAAGTTGTTCCTGTTTATACTATCTTGTAAATACCTATGTTTGTTTTGTTTTACTTTTAATTATGTGCGCATTGTATCTCCGCTTAGTTCGAGTCTTATGTAATTTTTTATGATCTACAAGACAAATTATTTATATACTTTTATTACTTTAGTCAAAAACTTGAAGTCTGTGTGTCATTTAAGTATGAGCATGAGAAATTTGATGTTAGACCATATAAATTTTTCTTCTGGAAAGCCATATAAAAAGGTTAGAGAAGTGGGAGGCAATTTATAGCAGGTGCATCACGAAAAACCATGTCCGCTAATCCCTGGCCCGTCTATAAATTTGGAAAGTAGTGCCTCGATTTGAATGAAATTTTCCCAAAAGGCTACCATTACGAGAAATACGAAAAAGCTTTGTAGTTTCTGTAGCAGCGGAGCTAGTGAGAAACGACGAAGAAAATGAAATCGCCCACACTTCGTTTTTGGCGTTTCAGAGAATCCTGATCATTTAAACAAAATTGGTAGGGGTTAAAGATTTGGGATTGAGCATTGCAGTCTGAGGGGGAGGGTATATCGCAATTTTTTGATTTTAGTCTATTCATACGCTTCACCAATAATTCTACGCACCTATTGTATATATTTCACAATTAAAAATAAATCTAGTATGGTACAATGTCCTAATTCGAATGTAAATTCTTTGGATTCGTGTGTTTACGTGCTCTCTTAAACGAAGTTTTTCGTCAATATGTAGTGCTAAAACTGTGAATACATTACAAAAATCTAGTCGTACGTAATTCATACTTATATGAAAATCTGTTTTACTTTTATTTTTGTCATGTTCTGAACAAAATAAAAATATACGAAAATATAATTATGTAGAATACGTACATCGCTAGCATGTCGTTCGTAGACAATGGCTTTGTTTGTTCCACGAAGCAAAAGTCTTCTATGAAATGGAGATAAAATGGAATTTCCAACGAATCTGATATATAATGCACTATTTCGTTAATTTCGTCTTCATTGCATACGTCAGGTATGCACAAACCGTATGAAAAGTCCACATCTTTTACCATCATGTTATCCGGCAGAACTAACTAAAAGTATATCGGTTACAACATTTTAGAAGTGCTTATATGGCAGACATAAATCAGAACAGAGAATTTTCCAAAAAACAGTATTCGTCGAGATATCAAAAGTTGTGTTGAGTGTGTTGAAAAAAATTAGGAAACTTTCTCATTTTGAACTGACTATACAATAATGCACACACAATCATATTTCCTTACCTTATATATTCTCTTGGTGTTACCAACCGTTGAGCAATATTTTCCTCTAATAGTTTCATTTCCCACAGTGGCTTTAATCTGTGCACATTCATCTATATTCCCAACTTCCACGATGTTTCCTTGCAAAAGGCCTGTCTGAGGTTTGGCATTTGCATCCAACACTATAATATTACGAATATTACATTATATATTCAATATTGTATTAAATCAAAACAGCCTTTATAGTTCAGTGATTGGAGATGAAACTTATCTTGTGGTTTTTATGCTGGTAGGAAACCATAGTTGGCTTGGAAAACAGAAGCAACCTAAACATATGTGGTTTCATTTAGCGGTTAGACAACCACGGAGATCGAAATAAGACGACACAAAGTGCCATCTATTGCCAGAATCGACCAATACGAAAGTGAAAACACCAAGTTGTCTATTGGACCGTATGCCAGTTTGCTTTGTCACCCGGGGACAGTGGAGACCGACAAAATGTCTACTTGCTGACTACACAGCTCATAGTCTGCACATAGTTCAGTGCGCTGTTGCTCGCTACGAGCGCTGTTAGCGTTACCCATAGCGTCATCTATGGAAGAATGACTCAACTACATGCTTAACGGCCATGCTGCAAGTCAGTTCGCCAGCATGCTTTGTTGGTTACAGAATGCCGAGATAGTCTGTAGAGTATATCTCTGATAATATGGAACAGGAAGAAAATTGGAGAGTAGTAAGATCGCAGGCTATATTCAAAGTTATTTTCCCAGTTCTTTTTTGCATTTTCAAATACTTTGAGAAGTTACAGGAAATCACCACCGCGCCCGCATTGTGTGTAATTAAGCCACATCACAGAAAAATTAGGACTGACGCATCACATCCAAAAAAAAGTTGCAGTGCCTCATATCTAGGCGCTGATTTGTATTTTCAAATTGACATCGCAAAATAAATGTCTATAAAACTTAAATGACTGGAATTAAAAATTAATATACAATGCAAGAAACTTTTCACGTTTAATAAATATTCCTGTCTGTAGGATATTTTCTCACCTTTTATTTGTAATAGACTTCATTAACCAGGGATTTTCTTTTTCTATCTCCCTCATTTTTTAAATCCAGTAAATTCAAAAACCAAGGAATTAGCGTCAACACAGATTATTATCACACAAATCCTCACTAAGCACCTATGCACTGCCATTTAGGCCCGTATCGTCAGTCGTCCCTACAATTGTAGGGCGCGTTTATGGCCTCCTTGATTGTCATACTCCTTTCTCTCCTTCAAAAATTTCTAGATTACACTTGTCCCGTGTCACCGTCCTCTTATTGTAAAGATATGTTTTCTTTTTAAATTGTAGGAAATTTCAGGCTGATAAAACATGATATAACTCAAAAGCAAGCACAATTTGATGCAAATAGATGTTTGTGACATAACCTCAAAATAGAGCGCTGACACGGAGACGTAGAAAACTATGACAATCAAGGAGGCCAATTGTAGGGCGCCTTTATGGCCTCGTTGATTGTCATACTCCTTTCTTTCCTTCAAAAATTTCTAGATTACACTTGTCCCGAGTCAGTGTCAGCGCTCTCCTATTGTGAAGATATGTTTTATTTTTAAATTGTAGGAAAGTTCAGGCTGGTAAAACATGATATAACTCAAAAGCAAGCACAATTTGATGCAAATAGATGTTTGTGACATAACCTCAAAATAGAGTTCTGACACGGAGAAGTAGAAAACTATGACAATCAAGGAGGCCATAAAGGCACCCTACAATTGTAGGGATGACTGACGATACGGGCCTTAGCCTGTTGCCTTCAAGCTATAGTATACAACTTACAGTTTAGACATCCAATAGTACCATCTCTTATATCACATCAGAGCCAAACCATGATAACTCAAGCGCCATGACGCTTAGGCAAACACGGGTGCACATCAAGTAAAAAACAGCTAATTCTAAGACGTCAAATTGTAAAAAAACTTACATAATGTTACAAAAAACCTATGTAATGTCAAAAAACTGATATAATGTTACTTTTCAAAATACTTAATACACTTTCGGCTGACAATGCAGCAGTTCCAACAAACAGTTTGCTATTTTCACTTTCGCAGTTGTCAATTCTGGTAATAGATGGCACTTTGTGCTGTTTGATTTCCATAGATATTATACTCTGTATAGACTCAACTTCCGTTAGTTGCCTCCCGAGACCCAGCCCACCATGCTGAAGAGTTGCCAAATAGCACGAAATAGCTGTCCATGGTTTGCCGTTTGTGATCAAATGAACAAAATCTATATTATCACCTGTAGAGATATTATTTGATACGCAAAAATGGAAAAAATGGTATTCGTAAAATTTTAGATTGAAAATTTGTTCCATTTATTTTTCTCAAAAACAATTGTAATCTAAAATAGTTTCCAATCAAAAAACTATGACCGCTTACATTTATCAGATCTGGCATTCATTTAAATTTGACGATTTATTATCTGTTAATCGTTACCTGACTCTATTCGGAATGTAGAGGAGTGACAATAAAGAAAAGAATTTCCAGATTAAGGGTACCTGCGCAGAAACTATACTAAGTGACATATAAATCCGAACACCCAGTTTAAATGGTTTTATTTTAATAAAATTTTGTATAAGTACTTAATGAAGCATAATAAGTAAATGATAAAAATTTCAAAATGATTGCACTGCTTTAAAGCCCTTTGACCTTTAATAATGTGTGGATGCACCCTGATGTGCTACGCATTCTCCAACGCGCCTAGGCATGCTTCTGATCAGGTGGTCAATGTCCTCCTGTGGCATCTCATTCCAGGCAACCACCAACTCCTCTCGAAGTGCTTCTAGAGTCTGAGGAGGACGTTGCAAATTGAGCAATCTCCTACCCATCATATCTCACACGTGCTCAATTGGGGATAAGTCGGGAGATCTTGGTGGCCATGGTAACAATGTGACATCATTATGTTGAAAGAAGTCTATTGTGACTCTTGCAACATGTGGTCGGGCATTATCTTGTTGGAAAGTTGATCTGCCAGGGTGTCAAGATAGGGTAAAAGATGGGGTTCTAGAACTGCGTGGATATAACGCTGCGCGTTCATGTTACCTCTGATGAAGATTAAAGGTGACCTGGAACCATAAGCTATAGCACCCCAAACCATAACTCCAACAGTGTGATGAACATGTCTTTCAACAAAAAACTGTGGATTCCTCCTTTCACCACGTCGCCTTCTAACCCTGGCACGACCATCGTGCATGCCTAAACAAAATCGAGACTCGTCACTAAAGACAATACTGTTCCATTCCTGATCCCAGAGTGACCGTTGTCTGCACCACTCAAGGCGATTACGTCGGTGTTCTCTAGTTAAAGGGAGGACCCAGTGTGGCCGGTATGAAAACAAGCCAAAACTTCTCATTCGTCGGTAAACAATAGGTCTTCCGTGTTCTGCAAACCATTCATTTGCAATGGACCTGGTAGTGGAGAAACGGTCACTTAAGGCCAATAAAATCTTAGGCGGCGATCTTCACGGTCTGTTGTTCTACGGCGGCGTCCAGTGCCCCTTGCTCTTTGCGTACGGCCTTCTCAAAGCCATGCCTGACAACACCTAACCACAGTGTCTACACTTCTTTGCACTCTAACTGCAATTGCTCGAAAAGAAAGTCCAGCTTACCGAAGTCCCACTATACGGCCCCTATCAAACTCACTAAGTTGACGAAATCGTACAGGTCTCCGTACTCTAGGCATCGTAACCGATCATCGTAAAGGATGTCAAGAACCAAAATCCGCCAACGTTGATTCTTTACTGCGGCTGAAATATTCATTTTTAGAGCGTTAGTGAATTAAAAAAAAAAGCAGTATAAAAACCGGAATGTCCAACTGATAAGGCTGAAATTTTTTTCACTTGTTATTTACAGTAAGATAAATACATTCACCAACTTTTATTAAAATAAAACCATTTAAACTGGGTGTTCGGATTTATATGTCACTTAGTATATTTGGTATATAGTATTTGATTTTGAAAGGTCATGATGTCCTGAAGTTTTTCATAACCATGGACAGCTTATTTATCTACCCACTAATTTTTCCTCCACGCTTACTTGAATATATGCTGTAATATTTACCTACCTATATCTATACCTACATTAACTGGACTAATTTTACAGTGATGGCTTTTTATCAACCATACATTATGTGGCAGCATATCCTGTCTGATTGAGAAATAACAAAACATAATTTCAGAAAAAAGGGTTACAATCTCCGAAGCAGCGATTTCGTACAAATTCGTCAAAATGGCTAGAACTGAAAAACCGTGCACAATCCGATAAGTTTATATGAGGTTTTTCTGATTGGAAATGAACCTCCTATCACCCCCGCTCGTTCAATACATAACGTTTGGGACACCATATATACTGGGTACGTCGTCTATTACTTTTTTTTTACCTATAAGTTTATGTGTTACCATGTGAATAAAAGTCATATGGTATGCATAAATGAACTGTCAAAGGTATGCCATTTAATGTCATGGATTCGTTTACAACACAACAACGCATTTTGGTTATCCAAACTTATTACGAAAACGGTCGAAATATAAAAAATACTTTTCGCAAACTTCACCCTACAGAGCCTGGAATTCGTTGAATTGTTAATCGTTTTGAGGAAACTGGTTCAGCTGAAAGTCGTAGACCATACCAACATGCTCGTCCACCTCGTACTCGTGAAAACATAGCCGCAGTGAGTGAAAGTGTGCGAGAAGATCCAACCACCTCGACTAAGCACCGTTCGCATCAATTGGGAATTAGCGAGACCACTTTACGCCGGATTTTACACATTGATTTACACCTCCATCCATACAAAATCCAACTGACACAAGAATTGAAGCCGGCAGACCATCAACAGCGGCGTGTTTTTGTTAATTGGATGCTGGAAAGAGAAGACGGATTTTCGGCCAAAGTGCTATTTTCTGATGAGGCTCATTTTCACCTCATTGGGTACGTAAATAAGCAAATTTGCAGATTCTGGGGGGCTGAAAATCCACACCAATATCATGCACAACGTTTCCATCTTGAAAAAGGGACTGTTTGGTGCGGATTATGGGCTGGTGGCATCGTTGGACCTTTCTTCTTTGAAGATGCCGAAGAAAAGGCCATTACCGTCAACGGGGAACGTTATCGCGGCATGTTAACAGACTTTTTGTGACCGCAATTGGATCGTATTGGTGCCGACGATCTTTGGTTTCATCAAGACGGAGCAACGGCTCACACATCTCATCAAACAATCGCCTTATTGCAGACGAAATTTCAAGACCGCATAATTTCACGAAATTCAGATGTCAGTTGGCCCCCGAAATCATGCGATTTAACACCTCTTGACTATTTTCTTTGGGGATTTTTGAAAGCAAAAGTGTATGCGAATGGTCCCCGGACAATTCAAGACGTAAAGCGCAATATTTGGACTGAAATTGCGGCCATAGACCCGATTGTTCTGGGAAAAGTCATTGAAAATTTTGATGTTCGGATGTTGGCCTGTCAACGAAGCTGCGGTGGTCACATGACTGATATTATTTTTCATACATAAATGGCATAAGCTGACCTTCATTTATCAATAAAAAAATTCGATTTCACCTCGTAAAAAGTTTGTTGATTTTTCAAATAGAAAAAAGTAATAGATGACGCACCCTGTACAACTTACAGTTTAGACCTCCAATAATACCATCTCTCATATCACATCAGAGCCAAACCATGATGACTCAAGCGCCATGACGCTTAGGCAAAAACAGGTGCACATCAAGTAAATAACAGCTAGTTCTAAGATGTCCAATTGTAAAAAACTACATAATGTTACAAAAAACCTATGTAATATCGAAAAACTGATATAATGTTACTTTTCAAGATACTTAATAAACATGTCGGCAGCAGTTCCAACAGATAGTTTGCTGTTTTCACTTCTGGTAATACATAGCACTTTGTACTGTTTTATTTCCATAGATATTATACTCTGTATAGACTCAACTTTAGTTAGTTGCCTACCGAGTCCCAACCTACACCATGCCGAAGAGTTGCCAAATAGCGCGAAATAGCTGAGCATGGTTCGCAGTTTGTGATCAAATGAACGAAATCTATATCATCAACTGGAAATCTAAAATTGTTTCCAATCAAAAAAACTATAATCACTTACATTTATCAGACCTGGCATTCATTTTATTATCTCTTAATTGTTACCTGACTCTATTCGGAAAGAGGATTGACAATAAATGAAAGAATTTCTAGATTAAGGGTACCTGCGCAAAAACTATTTGGTATATTTAATTTTGGAAGGTCATAGTGTCCCGAAGTTTTTCATAACCATGGACAGCTTATTTATCTACCCACTAATTTTTCCTAGACACTTACTTGAATATATGCTGTAATATTTACCGACCTATATCTATAATTACATTAACTGGACTAATTTTACAGTGATAGCTTTTTATCAACCATACATTATGTGGCATCATATCCTCTCTGATTGAGAAATAACAAAACATAATTTCAGAAAAAAATGTTACAATCTCTGAAGTAGCGATTTCGTACAAATTCTTCAAAATGGCTATAACTTAAATATCGTGCAGAATCCTATAAGTTTATATGAGGTTTTTTTATTGAAAATGAGTCTCCTTATCTTCCCCGCTCGTTTGATACATATTTTTTGGGACACGGTATATTATATACTATTAATTATAACCAATTTTTGGAATGGTGTAGAATGGTGTATCTCAATTTAGCATGCCTACAGGTTCAAAATTAAATAGTTTTGCTAAACCGTTTTGACGAAGCTTTTCAGCTTTTTGCTACATGTCATGTATTTACCATTTTTTTAGTAAGATACTTTGTGATACAAGAGTTGTTGTCGTCAATTTTGCGTCTATTCGTGAGAGAGCAAACCTTACGGCACTTCTACGTTATAACTATCCTACAAAGATCATAAACACAAGGACTTTCTTCAGTTTAATTTGTCGTATGCTATATTTACCGTAGAAAGAGTCGCAACGGAAGTATTTTGAAAAAATGTTTTCAGTCGATATTTTTAAATATGATGTAATGCAAAGGTATGACGAGGCAAATGAACGCATCAAAACCTACAGAAGTAAGGAATTTGCTAAGCTTCTCTAAAAAATCAACATTTTGAAAAGAGAGTTACAGAATGCGATATCTGAAACTTATCCTGCGGTTGTTTCGCTAATTAATTGTCATTTTTATCCTCGAGGGATCCGAAAGGATAATAGATCTTTCTATCTTGCATCTGTGGTTTTATCTGACGGCCAGTGACATATGGAGATCCTTTAGCGATATAATCACATGATAAGTTCCTAGTGTTACGTTAAGAAAGAGCCGGTTGTATTGGAATTTCTGCTGGTTCAGAGGCTTGATTTTCATTACTGTGGAAACCATTATAACTGTGTGAAACTCCATTAAGAATTAATAATGAACATTCCAAACATATACTTACTACTCAGAGCCCATTCATCCCAAACTTTCAACCGTTCAAACCAAATCTTGATCGCCCTCGAACACCGATTTTTAGGAAAAGTGCTGTTTGGACTTCTCAAATTCTCGTAGAGATCTAGAGCCTTGGGTATAAACTTTGCTATATTCAGAGCCAAACTATTGTTATTCGTCTTCCCATAACCCCGAATTATCTCAACTAAAGCCTGTGGATCTAGCGAGTCATGGATGAAATCCGTGATCATCTCCATGTTTGCATGGTCGGCCTTCGCGTATCGTATGAAGTCCGTGATGAAGTTTTTCCTTTTTGATTGAATGTAGTCTGCATTCTGAGCGTCTCTCGAGTGGCCAAGTGGCGAATTTAAAACAAATAGTATGAAAATTTGGAGTACTTTTAACTTCATCTTCGATCTGTATGTACCGATTTCAGACTTCTAAATGGCAGTAACAGTTATGATAATATTGTTACTCTTATCGGAGCACGAACTGTGAATAGCACATTATTATATTGAAATATAATTTTGATTTAATTTATTGATTAACATGTTTCACCTTTTGGAAAAGTGTGTGTTAAATGTGGAAACCGATATACAGGGTGTTCCTTGATGATATGCGAATATTTTGATGCATGAGTGTAAGGCTACTTGCACACACACTGATTTTGGACGGCCGGTAAAATATCGGCCGACCACATTTTAATAGTAAACCATTGGAGGGCATTGAAGCTTGCACATATTGGCCGACCACCAACCGGCACCGGAAAAAAGCCGGTTAGCAGCCGGACATTGTCACTGTGAAGCGCCGGTACAGGGAATATACAGAGTGTTAATGATATGCGAATATTTAAGGATGTGAATCTACATGAAAAATTAGTGTTAGTTTGCTTTATAAGCTATGGTCCAAAAATGTTTCCTTACAAAAACTCGGGCTGTGTAATTATCTTGAAATATAATTTTGATTTAATTTATTGATTAACATGTTTCACCTTTTGGAAAAGTGTGTGTTAAATGTGGAAACCGATATACAGGGTGTTCCTTGATGATATGCGAATATTTAAGGGTGTGAATCTACATGAAAAATTAATGTTAGTTTGCTTTATAAACTATGGTCCAAAAATGTTTCCTTACAAAAACTCGGGGTGTTGAAGTTTTAAAAAAAAATGGAAATTAATTAATATGTATTTTCAGAACCGCTTCAGATATTTCACTGATTTTCAGTACGTAATTAATAAAGTTGCATATTTTTCAAAGCAAAAATAATTTCTAGCTTTAACACTGTCGTGCGTACGGGTATTGACTTCGATACTTTTTAAGAAAAAAATGGTACGCCAATGGTTTTTTGGCAAATAAAAATTATTTTTTAATTCCCCGTTCAACTTAAAACAAATGATCTCTCTTGAATGGTTTCCTTTCGATGCGCCAATTTTGAGTAAAAAAATAAAAACCGGTCTATTGTCTGAGAAAATTAATGTAATAATTGAAGAATGCAATTTAACAATAAATATCTAGTTGCTCTGGAATATGTCACTGGCTTTTGACATCTGACAAGTCTCTGTTATTCAAATCTGTTCGCTGTGACATCTTTTTCATTATTTAGTTTCTACAATCTTGTTAATAATGGTGTATTATTCAAATGCAGAAATGGCGGAAAAGCATTACGTATATGGCCTTGCCGACGGTAATGGTGAGCAAGCCAGACGGATTTATCACCAGAGATATCCCGATCGTGCTTTGCCAGATAGTCGAACCTTTTCTAATATTCATCGTCGTCTTGTTGAAACTGGTTCTGTCCGAAAAAGAACATCTGAAGGTAGACCTCTAAGTGTGAGAACACCTGAAATTGAGGAAGCAGTGCTGCACGAAGTATAAGAACATCCTGAAACGAGTACGAGGAAGATCGCTAGACACTTAAATATTTGCCATCAAATTGTTTGGAGATTTTTAGTGGATTATTTGTTATATCCTTACCATATTTTAAGAGTACAGGCATTACTTCCCATTGATTTTCCAAGGCGTGTGACCTTTTGTCAGAGGTATCTTCAAAAAATTACACAAAATCCGCAATTTGAATCAATGATTTGCAAGTTAGACAATAGAACGGTTTTTATTTTTTCACTCAAAAATGGCGCATCAAATGAAATTTAATTCGAGAGAATTATTTGTTTAAAATTGAACGGGGAATTCAAAAATAATTTTTATTTGGCAAAAAACCATTGGCGTACCATTTATTTCTTGAAAAATGTCGAAGTCAATACCCGCACGCACGCCACTGTTTTTGCATTGAAAAATATGCAACTTTATCAACTTTCACTAGGTACTAAATATCAGTGAAGTATCTGAAGCGGTTCTAAAAATATGAATTAATTTTCATTTTTTTTTCCTAAAACTTCAACACCTCGAGTTTTTGCAAGGAAACATTTTTGGACCATAGTTTATGAAGCAAACTAACATTAATTTTTTATGTAGATTCGCACCCTTAAATATTCGCATATCATTAAGGAACACCCTGTATATTTATTTTTTATGAAATACTTGGATGCATGAAGCTGATATTTTCAAAATTGAACCTTAAGGAAATATTCATGGTACGTATGAACATTATACAAGGCGTTTTAAAACGATTATTAGAATAGAAAGCGTGAAGGTGTTGAAATTCTTATTTGCTGAGACAAAATGGTGAAGCTAGCTGAATATTATTTAAAGCTGAAAAACGAAACAAAGGTACTGGCTCAAATTTGGTATGTATCTTTAAATGATGGAACTGTTATTCAAGCAGTGGTCTGCATGAGCGTTTTTTCGGTCCTGTGAATTTTTTATACGGAAGCAGTCGCGCAGGCAGAAGCCTAAATGCCAGGGCACCGCGACTGCTATGAGGGGCTTGAAGAAAGTTTGTTAACCCGATTTTTGAGCTGCTCAGGGTTATTAGAACTGGGAAAAGCCTCATCATGAAGATGGTTTCACAATCTCGATACCCTAGGGACAAAGAAGCGATCGTATCGGAAAGTTCTGGATGTGCGTTTAAATATCTGAGACCATACATTTTTTAATATTCAACCAAGTAGTTTTTTATGAGCGAATTGTCACAACTCTTCCTAGTTCAAATCTATAACAAAACACACTAAGGGTCGTTTACGTCAGTCGTTCTTACAATTGCAGGACGCCTTTATGGCCTCATTGATTTTCATATTTTCCCTCCTTCAGAAAGGCGGAGGTATATCTAGGTTTCTTATTGCGCTGTTACGAAACAGTAAATCTAGAGATACCCCTGTCTTCTGAAGGGGAGGAAAAACTATGAAAATCAAGGAGGCCATAAAGGCGTCCTACAGGTATAGGAGCCGACTGACACAAAACATATACAGGGTGGCGCATCGAAAACGAAACAGACGCATTTACTGGCAGCTCAGTTTTTTTGGAAAAACGCTCAGACCCGTCGATTTTGTTTTCGAGGGGACACAAGTTTGGCAAAAAATCAGGTTAACACGTGCAGCCCCCTGGGCGGGGGTGACACCAACCCTAAAATCTTAAATGGAAAGGGGGGTCGAGTGATACCTTATTTTAAAGATCTTTCAATTCCTTTTATAATGATGTAAAATACATGAGCTTCAGTTCAGTAGTATTGAAGATTTATTGATTTAAAGCTTAAAGTAGACTTTAATATGTACATCATATTAGTTTGTACGACTTTCAGAAGAAATTTGACCAAAAGAATTTACTTGATAAGTAAATGCTTTTCTTCACTACGCCCATGGTTTGTTTATCATTTTGTTGTTGAAAATAGCTATTGGAGCGTTTTTTGTGACAAAAAAGTTATTTCTTGAAGGAAGATACGGAAATATCTCGTACTTATTTTAAATAAGAATTTAGTACATAGTTTGCGATTGATTTGACCAAACTTTGTTGCTAATATAACTTGTAACGCTTTATTACATAAATTAACCATGGTATATTCCACAGCAGAAAGAGTTGAAATTATCGAAATATTTTTCGGAAATGATCAGTGCGCAAATAGAACAGCAGAAATATTTAATGAGACGGGTCTGAGCGTTTTTCAAAAAAAAACTGAGCTGCCAGTAAATGCGTCTGTTTCGTTTTCGATGCGCCACCCTGTACAAAAGTGTTCCTCCTCCTCGCTCACAATAAAAACGAAAGTTGAAACAAATGATTACTTATGAGTCTTCAATGATGAATATTGAAGATTTGAAGTAGGAAGTGTTGCGACTATGCGATCATGAAACATGGTAAGTTGGATATTCGAAAATGGGTGAATTTGAACAAAAATACTAAAATTGCAAACGCTAGGCTCTTGGGTTACGAAAAATGTTGATATAAGCGTGACATAGAAAAAAGAACTCTCAGTAATAATAAATTTATTACAACATTTTTTTTGTATACATCTCTCTTAGGGTTAGGTAAGTAATTGATCAAAATTTCAGAAAAACCCAACCATTAAACAATTGTATATGGCATGGAACAGTCTATTCCATATACTTACTTTTCCTTTTTACGCATTTCTATAGCTTTTTGGTGTTTCACCATTTCTGAAAAAAAAATGGTTTTATTGATTACTGACCAACTCTGATATTCATCCAAGTGATGCAATTAAAATACTGTCTTTTAGTTGACGTTAAACGCCTTATTGTACGTATACAGGTACACTTACCTTTCTTGAAAATAACTTTAGCTGCTTGTATAAAAGGAGACTCAAAAGCCAAACAACATATTGTGGATGCGATGAAAGTGAAGAATAAATCCGACAGCAGATCTCGAAACTGAAATGAGATATCAGTAATATAGCTTTCGTTCGACCGACTACAGACTGCCAACTATGGACAGCTGTTTCGTGCTATTTGGCAACTCTTCAGCATGGTGTAGGCTTGGTCTCCGTGGACAGCGAACAAACGTTGAGCAACTCTACTCTATTCAGAGTATTAGATCTATCGAAATAAGACAGCACAGGGAAAGTGAAAACAGCAAAGAGATAGACCGGATGTAAACAACAGGTTCGGGTGATTTTCACGCTAACGCCGCCGTCTCGACGTAAAACAGGAGCCCTCATTGGTCAATTCGCAATTAAATGCCTATGCCGAGCAGCAGAGCAGTCGTATCAAGGCAGAGTCACATTCAGGTTCTGACGTGTTACGTATGTCGTGTGCATCATTGCAATTTGATATTTCTTTGGACGTTTCCGTTTGTTATCTTATTAAGTTGTTGAGTTTGTCGTTGTTATTGTTATACCTTGTTATTGATTGTTATTGTTATCAACTGCTTGCGCAAAATGCTCAGTAGTACAGATACTGCCGATGAAGTTGTAAACTCCTGTAGTCCACCTAGGAAACGCTCTAAAAAAAGACACCTGAGTGCAGAAATGAAAGAGGTCATTTTGAATATATATAAGATCGAGCGCGAGGAGAACGAGGCATCAACCATCAAAGAAATTGTTGTGAAGGTTTCTCACAAAGTTGGGGTGTGTCGCGCATCAGTGTTTAATGTGTTAAGACAATACAAAAAAAATCACACCTTTTCTGAGCCAATGACCAGTAAACATCGCAAAAGTATTGTTAAATCATTGGATGAAGCTGATAAGCATGCGATTAGGAGGAAAGTGCATGAATTCTTCTTTAGGAATGAAATACCTACTATAGATAAAGTACTGCAGGAGATAAATGGAGATACAACGTTGCCAAATTTCAAACGATCAACTTTCCATGCGTTACTGAAGCATTTAAATTTCAAATGGAAAAAACGTCGTAATAGTTTACTACTGGATAGAGAAGAAATTGTGCTATGGAGGAGGGATTATTTAACAAAAATTGGGAAATATAGAAATCAAAACAGGAAGATTTATTACCTTGATGAAACGTGGGTAAACGCAGGACACACTACAAGTAAAGTATGGGTTGATGATTCTGTAACTTCATCCAGGAGGGCCTTTCTAGATGGACTGTCCACCGGATTAAAAAATCCAGCAGGTAAATACGAGTAATAGACAACAATCGGATGTTTTTCAAACCTTGGGAACAAGGTTCTAAACATTAATTCCAGGGGGCAGATAAAACATATTACAAGTAACAAAACTTTTATAACTTTCGATAAAATGCGTGGATGTTTTATTGTCATTTTCATTTGTTAGAACTTTTTTAAGCCATGTTTTTATGTGTTTTCGATATTTCAATAATTTTTTAATATAATCTTAAAATATGTCGAATATTATAAACTTAAAAAAAGTTACTAAGTTTTATATTGTGTACCGTTCCTAATATTTCTAATCATTTTAATTCATACTTTAAGCTTTATAAAGTTATAATTTGTTAATATTAATTGCGCGTATTTCAGGTTCCTGATCATTCATTTTTTAAAGGTTTATCACTTTAAATTAAATTGTGAAGCGCTGAGTAATCATACGACGTTCAATATTCTTTCTTTCAATGTGACTAAATAATCCCAATTATAGCAATCTGATACTCATGTCTCAATGTTTTTTCGCTGAATGTGATGAAAACATTTGAAAAAGGTTCGCTTATTGAAATAAATCTACACCAGTTAGTACTTCGATTTCCAGGTAAAGGGAGAAGGCTCATTATCTGCCATATTGGCAGTGAGGATGGATTTGTTGTTGACGGTCTGTGGTGCTTTGAGTCTAAGAAAACTGGAGATTACCACGAGGAAATGAATGGCGAATCGTTTGAACAGTGGTTTTCAAAAATTTTACCGAACTTAGAGGAAAACGCAGTAATTGTGTTGGATAATGCGCCTTATCATTCTCGAAGAATGGAGAAGGTCCCAACAACGGCTTCAAGGAAAGTTGATGTTCAAAATTGGCTCCGCTCGAAAAATATCAACTTTGAAGAAGCAATGCTGAAAGTACAATTATTAAGAATTGTCAAGGATCACAAGGCGGAATATCAAAAATACGCCATTGACGAAATGGCAGCAAGTCAAAATAAAACTGTGCTCGTTTACCTCCATACCATTGCGAGCTCAATCCCATTGAGCTCATATGGGCAGAGGTTAAAGATTATATAGCTAAGTACAATACAACTTTTAAATTTTGTGACCTCAAAGGACTTTTCAAAGAAGCACTAGAATTAATAACAGCGCAAAAATGGGAAAACTGTATTGAGCACGTGAAAGACAAAGTTGAAAAGAGAATGTGGGAACTGGACAATATTTTAGAGGAACAAGTCGAGCCATTCATTATTGACGTTGGTGCTTCAGGCAGTAGCGATGATGAAAGCTCATCAAGCTCATCTTTCCAATAAAAGATGTCGTTCATCAAATTCGGTAAGTTATAAGTAATTATGAAGCTACTGTATTTTTTAATTAATTATTGACATGTTTGAACCCATTTTGGCAAAACCTATTCAAGAATCTACTTTCTGACAATGTTCAACCATGCACATTTTTTTACGTTTTGAACGTTTTAATTTGGTTACATATTTACCTAGAAATCAAAAAATATACTAATCAATATTCTAAAAGCAATTTTAAGAGATATACGATTATTTTTAATTTAGGCTAATTTAAACGCCATTTTGAGATTATATTCGACTGTATTTCACCAAACATCAGGCGGCATCCGAAGCTGGAAATCGAAGCGAAAATTTTGAAACCCTTATGTATATTTACATCATTATATATTTCTTACCCCACCCCCACATGATCCTATATCCATCACCAATCGTATACACATCGAATTGTGCTAATTTACTACAAAGTTACGCAAAGCAGCATCTACTATCTAAAATATGTACTGCGTGACTCTTAATACGTCCCTGCCGAATGTTACAGCGTTCGATGATCACGTGGTCTTGTTTATGTCCGGTCTATCTCTTATCTGAATATACTGTACTGGAACGGTATGCCAATGAAGAGTAGACTGTGAATAGAGTAGAGCTGCTAGAGCAGCTTTCGTTCGTTAACCACCGAGACGAAGCCTCACACAATGCTGAGGAGTTACCAAATACCATGAAATAGCTGTGCCTAGTTGGCCAAGTTAAGGAGCTTATGCATGGATGTCTCAATACCTGTGAGAGATATAGCTTAGGTTAAATTAGGAAAATGTTGCGTTCTTTGGGCTTTCTGAGATATTTGGGAAAAATTAATTTTTTTCGAACTTCAATACACAATAATAACAATACTCGGTGACAGATGTTTACGTCAAGTCAAGCTTTTGTTTATAATGCTTACTTAAAAAGATAATCAGAAAAAAACGCATTTTTCCTTATAAGCAAGAAAATAAATTTACGATTTTGTAACATGTGATACATCGTTGAATTCGCATAAAAATGCTATTATATACAGGGTGTACTTTTTTCGAACTATCTAAAAAGTAAAGTTGATGGTTTCTCAAAAACGAACCGTCAGGCACAAAATTTGAAAACACCACCATGCAGTCCCTAAAAAGTACTAATGAAAAAGTTCCAGTTTCACCGATCAACAGCCAAAAAATATCCTAAATAAAATCAACAAAATATTACTATTTTTAATGTGCTAAAATCGGGATGCAACTTATTTTTTCAATATTAGTTCAAGTTTTGGAGATACGGTAATTATATGTGTTCCTGCTGGGACAGTGTTAATATACTGTAATTCACAAGAATGCACGTGCTACATTTTTATATTCGGCAAGGAAAGATGATGTAATCGGCATGATTGTGTTACGTTATACATATGCCTACATTATATTGTTTTATATTAACCATTTTTTCCTCAGTTGGCTGACAGCGTTCATGCAAGATGTCTCGAAAGTGTGTAAACAATCCAGATCAGTTTTGTTACGTGTGTGGTGATGTGACTTTTGCGTCTCAGAGACGGTCTATTACTCCACTAATAACAAAGGCATATCAGCTTTATTTCGGTTATAAACTAGGTGATCAAGACAAACAGTGGGCACCCCACATCTGCTGTAATACATGTGCTTCAAGTTTGAGGAGCTGGTTAAATGGCAAAAAACGGTCTATGCGCTTTGCTGTCCCAATGGTTTGAAGAGAGCCTACAAATCATATTAATGATTGTTACTTTTGCATGGTACCTTGTGTTGGACAAGCCACAGGTATGTCCAAGAAAAAAAAATTGGTTATTAACTACCCAAACATACCATCTGCGATGAGACCTGTGCCTCACACTGACGAAAATCCTATTCCAAAACCCCCAGAATCCTACACTTGCGAATCAGAAAACGAATCAGATCATGGCGATCGAATGATTCGTCAGGAAGAAGATATGCCATCAACGTCAAGAGATCCTGATTTTATACCGAGCACGTCATGCCACCAACCGCACAAAATAACACAGTCAGAATTAAATGATCTTGTAAGAGATTTAGAACTTCCAAAATGTAAGGCAGAGTTACTTGGATCAAGACTGCAGCAGTGGAACTTGTTAGAAGACGATGTTTCGGTATGTGTTTTTCGTAAACGCCACAAAGAACCATTTTCCAATATGGAGAATAACTTGGCTTTCTGCAGTAACATTAACGGCTTGCTGGCGGCTTTAAATATAAACTATAACCCAGAAGAATGGAGATTGTTTATAGACAGTTCAACATTGAGTTTAAAGGCAGTATTATTGCATATTGGAAATATTTTACCATCTCTTCCTGTAGGGTATGCAGTTCACATGAAAGAATCATATGACAATATGAAGTACCTATTTACATGCATAAAATACGATGAGCAACAATGGCATATTTGTGGCGATTTGAAAGTTGTTGCACTTTTACTTGGGCTGCAGCTAGGCTACACAAAGTTTTGCTGTTTTTTTGTGTGAA